AAATTCTGCAGCTCTCATAGACAGACTGAGGACCAGGGGTGGCCAGGGGTGGCCTGGCCTGGGTGCTTTTCGAGGACTCCACTCTTTTTTAAACTAGGAATCGCGGTGATGAAGTTCAAGAACCCCCCAGTGAACTCCCTCAGCTTGGAGTTTCTGACAGAGTTTGTCATCAGCCTGGAGAAGCTAGAGAATGACAAGACCTTCCGTGGTGTCATCCTCACTTCGGTAGGTGCCTGCTCAAGCCACACACACCTCCAGCCCTGACTGTGGTCAAGAGTGGTAACCTGGAAAATCTGGAGCCTTTCATCATGGGTTATGTTGTCACCAGCAAACCTGACACCATGAGGGGCCTCTAGAACACAGTTTCCAGGAGAGCAGGTTCCCAGGCATGTACCAGGCCTGGACTACCCTCAGGAACCTGCTGAGCAGTCTCTGTGGGAACTTTGTCTTCCCGGGAGCTGCCATCTAGTCAGTTAGCAAATGTCGCCGGCCCGGGGCTCCCAGGGTACCTCTCCCTCCCATCCCACCCCTCCACAGGAGCTGCTGGTTCCCTGGGCTAGTTCCAGCAGAATACCTATCTTGAGAGCCTGTTCTCTGCTTGCCTTTGGACCATCTTAGGTCAGGTATCAGGGCAAATTCTTCTGCCATCTGAATTCTTGAGGGGAGTCTGGACATTGCCTGCAAGTGCTAGCAAATACCAGGAACAGCACTGGTGACAGCAGTGTCCCTGAAGTCAGTAAATGACCATTGAGGGGAGGTGGTACAGTGGTAAGGAAGTCAATGCCAGGACACAAAGTAAGATGTGCAGCTAGTTCATTTTAGCCCCTTTATTCTTGTTATTTGGAGTTAGGTTCCTATATCCCAGACTAGCCTCCAACTTGTAGTGTAGTCAAGGTCACAGTGTTGCTGTGCCAGTCTGTGAGGTGCTGAGAAGCAAGCCCAGGCCTTTGTGGATGCTAGGCAAGTGCTCTACCACTGATCTATATCTCCAACTCCTGATAAATAATGATTTGGGGGCTTTTTTGTTCCTTCTTGGGGGATGATGCTAGAGATTGAACCCAGGGCCATCTGAATATTGGGCAAGTGTTCTGCCACTGTACAACTTCTTCGTCTCCTTGGTAAGGTGCAATGACAGTGCTGCTCTCTTTAAGAGTAGGTGCAAGCCGGGCGTTGGTGGCGCACGCCTTTAATCCCAGCACTTGGGAGGCAGAGGCAGGCGGATCTCTGTGAGTTCGAGGCCAGCCTGGTCTACAAGAGCTAGTTCCAGGACAGTCTCCAAAGCCACAGAGAAACCCTGTCTCGAAAAACCAAAAAAAAAAAAAAAAAAAAAGAGTAGGTGCAAAGTATACGTGTCTCCCTGTGCCATGTGCTATAGCAATACAGAGACCAGACAGGACCATTGAACTATAACACATCTTAGCATCATGGTCAGTAAAGGTACAGGAAGCTAATAGTCATCAAGTCCCAAAGGGCCAGGCTGCCCAGTAGGGGAACAATCACTACCCTGGACAATGGCCACCAGACTCATCTCTCATTAATTGCTTATTGTCATTAAAACTATTAGGTTTTTTTGTTTGTTTGTTTGTTTTCAAGATAGCGTTTCTCTGTGTAGCTTTGGAGCCTATCTTAGAACTCACTTTGTAAACCAGGCTGGCCTCTGAACTCACAGATATCCACCAGCCTCTGCATCTTGAGTGCTGGGATTAGAGGTGTGTGCCACCACTGCCTGGCATCATTGAAACTATTATTTATTCAGCCCATAGCCTTAACAGTTGTCTCACAGCTAATATCACTGCAGGCTACCTTTTAATGCATCTAATTGGTGGTGCTACAGTAGACCAATAAGCATTAGACTGCTCTCTCTCTCTCTCTCTCTCTTCCTCTCTTTCTTCTCCCCTCTCTCCCTTCCCTTCCCCCAATAAAACATCCAACATAACAACAAAAAAAGCATTAGTCTACCAACTGCTACAATTACATTCTTTTTTTTTTTTTTTTTTTTTTTTTTTTTTTTGGTTTTGTTTTCGAGACAGGGTTTCTCTGTATTGTTTTGGAGGCTGTCCTGGAACTAGCTCTGTAGACCAGGCTGGTCTCGAACTCACAAAGATCCACCTGCCTCTGCCTCCCGAGTGCTGGGATTAAAGGCGTGCGCCACCAACGCCCAGCTTACATTCATTATTCTTATCCTATTAATTGTCCTGGAATTTGCTTTAGCCCTTACTCAAGCCTATGTTTTTATACTCCTAGTCAGTCTTTATTCATGTGATAACACATAATGACCCACCAAGCACACATATACCACATAGTTAACTCAAGCCCAATACCACTAACTGGAGCCCTCTCTGCTTTCGTCTGACTTCTGGACTACTAGTGTGATTCCATTTTAACTCTTCTATCTTACTGTCCTTAGGCTGTATAACAGATATCAATGATGATGTGACATACCATGGCCACTGCACCCTGATTGTACAGAAAGACCTTCCTTATGGAATCATTTATTGTAGCTGGTCTTTTCTCCCCAACCCCCTCAACCTCAGGTTTTTTCAGAGCTTCCTATCACTTGAGCCTTGTGGCTAGGTGACCTAGGTGGATGCTGACCACCTACAGGAATTGTTCCACTTAAGCCACTCGAAGTCCCCATACTTGATACATCACTCCTTCTAGCATCAGGCATTTCAATCACATGAGCCCACCATGGCTTAATAGTTCATGTCCAAAAAAGATGGACTCAACCTTCACTGTGACTCCAAGATCACAGAGGATGGATGTCTGTCCACTCCCTCAGCTCCTGACACGGGATGCCGTTGGACAAACAAAACATCTCCTTGCTGCCCTGCACCAAATCTACCACCCATAGACTCGAATCCTGACTAAGAAACTATGCAGAGGGGAAAGCCTCAGGTGGAGGTTTTTTTCCACCTGGCAGCTCCTGACCCATTTCCCAGGATTTGGTGCTGACTCTGACAAGGCTGTCCTGTAGCCGTCGGCTCTTCCTCCACCTGTATTCCCCTCATACCTGCTCTGGTGGCTGTCAGGCCTGAGACATCAAACTGCATATGTAACTATGCAGATCTAGATCTTCCTTCTGCCCCAGAACTGTGTGCCCTGTGCCTCAAAGACAGAACTGAGTACAAAGAGGTGTGCCCAGGTATCAGCCTGGCTGGTGCATAGATGTCTCTGAGCAGTGCCCACTCTTAACCTCTTCTGTCCTTTCCATTTTGAAGCCAGAAAAAGGACAGATATTCCAGAAAGTAGAGTCAGTCCAGGGGAGGGTCCTTGACACCCTCAGTTCTGGATTCCATGGAAGACCCATCTTACTAGCCAAACATGACCCTGGCTTCTCTTGGCAGGACCTCCCGGGTATTTTCTCAGCTGGCCTGGACTTGCGGGAGATGTATGGCCGGAACCCAGCCCATTACACAGAGTACTGGAAGGCAGTGCAGGAGCTGTGGCTGAGGCTCTACTTGTCCAAGCTGGTGTTAGTGTCTGCCATCAATGTGAGTGTCCCCACCCACAGTTCTCCAGGGCCTGCCCAGAAGCAGGGGACACTAAGACTTTGACCTTCCTAGGCCAGTCAGACAAGGCAGAAGAAATGCCAGTGGGTGGGACCGGGACCTGGCTGGCTGGCAATGAACCTTGGCTACAATTAACCCTGAGCAGTCAGGGCTATGCAGGAAGCCCTGCTGGGGAGAAAAACAAAAAGACAAGGAAAAAGCAGGATTCTCTGAGAAGACAGCTCTGAGGATCAGAGCCATGGGAGCATAAAGGAAGAATTGAAGACAGAAAGTTAGGTGATAGAGAATGTAGGGACCTGGAGAAGAGACACTAGTGACCTGTCTCAATATGGAGTATTAGGGTGCATGCAATGTAGACACTGTCATTTTTAGGATTCCCAGGCATCCTGGTGAGACTGGTTGCCAGGGGTGGTAACAGTTCCATGGCCTAATGGCTCTGTCTAAATACTTACTGTGAGCATTAGCATCAGATAAAAGCTACGAAAGGACACAGAACTTGCTGTCCCAAGAGTCATTGTTGGCCCCTAAAAGCTAAAAAGCCACATGCCAAGGCCCTTTTGAGCCCATGAAAAAGCTTGAGTCTGTTAAGACCTCAGCTGCTGATCCCTGGGTGGCCAATCTCAGTTCATGTACCCATCTGGCATACTTGGTCCAGATGCCACTGCAGTGCCAAGACTTCATGCCCAACTCTGCCCTGTCCAAGGAATATTACTGGAAACTGGAGCACCTACAGATTGAGTCTCTTGCTTCTCTACAGGGTGCCTCTCCAGCTGGAGGCTGCCTCATGGCTCTTACCTGTGACTACAGGATTATGGCTGACAACCCCAAGTACACCATAGGACTGAATGAGAGCCTGCTTGGCATCGTTGCCCCTTTCTGGTAAGACAGGGGCTGTATTCAAACTCTACTTGACATCCTCCCTCCTAGCAAGGTGAAGGATGATGTCTTCATTCCAGGTTGAAAGACAACTTTGTGAACACCATTGGACACCGAGCAGCAGAGCGTGCCCTTCAGCTGGGGATGCTCTTCCCACCAGCAGAGGCCCTCAAGCTGGGTGTGGTGGACGAAGTGGTACCTGAGGACCAGATACACAGCAAGGTTCGCTCAGTGATGGTCAAGTGGTTGGCCGTCCCAGGTGAGGAGCAGCAGCAGGTAGCTTTGGGGCACGTGATTAAGGGAGATGGACCACCTTTCCCATTCTGGTGATCCATCATGATGAAAGTGACAGTTCACACAAGTGGAATTCTGTGAGAGTACTTACAGAAAGCTCTTACAGGAGCTGGGAAGCCATCAGGAACACAGCTGCACCCTGTGAAACTGCAGGAACACCAAGACTCTGGTGTTTGACTTTTTTGAGACAGGGTCTCACTGTGTAGTTAAGATTTCCCTGAAACAACCTACTTAACCCATGTCTTCGCTTCTCCAATGTTGAGATACAGGCATGTACCAGTTAAGACACTAAACTGTGAATGTCATGTACTTCCCAAATGTCACAAAGTATCCTTTTTAATTGCTCTAAAAGGAGCCCTCTTCTCTTAGGGAGCAAGTAGTAAGTCCCTACATGCACAAGAAAGAATCTACTGATAATGGAAAATGTGGCCAGTATTACAATTCAAAGAAAATGGCATGTTGGTTATTTGAGGTGCTGGAAATGGAACTCAAGATCTTGTGCATGTGTTCTATCACTGACCTGTGTGCCCAGCCCTAAAAATGACATTAAATAGCAAGCAAATTAAGAGGCAGGCATAGTGGCATGTGCCTGTAATCCTATCTCCAAAAAGAAGACCTACAAGTTAAAGACCATCCTGGGCTACAGAGCTGTCTCAGCAACGGCAATAACAAAAACTCTTGCAGTACCCTCCTGTCTGCTCCTACATTTTATTTATGTGGGGCTATTTAGTTCATTTCAGGCTGGCCTTGAACCCCCTGTTCCACCTTAGCTACCCAAATGCTAAGACACACAGCTTTCTTTGTGATTTTCTGAACTCTCTAGGAGAGTATATTTCAATACTTGAAGTGTAGCACAGCCAGGACTAGCCCCACAGTCTCTGAAGGTGAGTGTCACGAGTAACCCCATTTTCTTCAGACCACTCTCGACAGCTGACCAAGAGCATGATGCGAAAGGCCACCGCAGACAACCTGCTCAAGCAGCGGGAAGCTGACATCCAGAATTTCGTCAGCTTCATTTCCCGAGACTCTATCCAGAAGTCCCTGCACGTGTACTTGGAGAAGCTCAAGCAAAAGAGGGGCTAAAGCACGGCTGCCACAGGCGTTCAGTCACACGTGCCTTCTGGGGACCCACTCAGCCCAAGGGTCATATACAAGGTGTTTTTCAACTTAAAACTTAGCTCTTGTGTTCTTGACCTTAAAATGTCCTGTTCCTGGATGTAGAGGTGGCTCTGGGGTTAAGACCACTGGCTGCTCTTGTACAGAACCCAGATTCAAATTCCAGCACTGATATGTGGCTCATAATCATCTGTAACTCCAGTCCCAGGAATCCAATGCCTTCTGTGCTCTGTATGCACATGGTGTACATACACACATGCAGGCAAAATACCCAGACACATTCACTTTTATATACACACACACAATTTTTTTTAACAGTTCTGTTAGCTGGGGGGATAGGTCTGTCAGTAAGGTCTCACCAACTATCCTGAGAGCTTGGTAAAAGCAAGACATAGTGGATGCGCTTGTAATCTAGTACTGGATAGACAGGAACAGGCAGGTCTCTGGGATCCTCTGGCCAGCCAGTCTAGCCTAATTAGTGAGTGCCAGTGAGACACTTTGTCTCAAAACAAGATAGTACTTCCTTGACCTCTGGCTTATTCAAAAGCAGTTCCTTGAAGCCTAGGGTTTACAGCCCCAACCACAAGAACCTTTTTGCTTGGTGAGCACAAAAGTCCCTCTGAATCTTACAAGGCCACGCTGCATGTCCATCTTGTGAACCATCTGCAGGTTGACTTGTCCCTGGCCTTTACTGGATGTCTTTTTGGAACCTTTAAGACCAGACCATCTCTGTCGCCCTCCAGGATCTCCAGAAAAAAATCCTGTGGCCACATATTTTCATTTAGAAAGAGTAGACAACTGTAAGAGGAACCTGGGGAACAGGAATATGAAGGATGGTGACTAAAAGGTTAATACCTTCCCCTGGTCATGCCCCCATTCCTGCCCCAGTCAGGGTCTCATGTCCCCAAGATGACTTTCCAACTACTTAGCTGAGGACTGCCTTAAATCAGAGTCTCCTGCCTCTGCCTCCTGTGTGCTGGCATTACTGATGGTCACCACCACTGCTGGCTTATGTGGTGCTGGGGACCAAACCCACGGCTTCATACTCTACCCACTGAGCTGCATCCCCAGCCCAGTACTGCTTATTCAGTGCATGGCCCTGAATCTTACATTAGATTTTGCAAGAACCAGATTTGTAGGTTGAGAATAAGGCTTAATAAATAGAGCACCTACCTAGCATGCTCTAGGCCCTTGGTTCAATCCCAGAAATGCCAAAACAAACAGAGCCAAACTTTTCTAATCCATCACAAGGAGTTTTTTCCATGTGGTTCAGACCTATTTCTCTAACACCTCTAAAGATGTTTTATTGACCTCCACAGGCACACACAGAAATAAATACACACATGCACACAAGAAGTTTGAATAACCAGAAACCTCATGACAGCCATATGTCCCCAGAACTATTTCCTGCTCCCGAAGGGACCAAAACCTCCATCCTCTCAGGGCCTTGCCTAGCCCAGGACTTGAGGGGAAAAGTGACATAAGATTCCTTTGAAGGCCTCAACCCAAGTAAGGGTGCAGGCTCGGGACAGAACTTTAGTGCCAGCAATTGCCCTTGTTTTGCTGTGGGTTCCTTCTAGAAACTGCTCACTGGGGCAAGTGAAGCCCCCTTGCTCCTGCAGTGCTAGGTAAGAGCCCAGCCTCTGTTTCAAATGAATGTTTTAGGATCCCTGAAGGCAGAAATCCCGTAGGGTCCAGAAAGACATTAAATCCAAGCTGCACTTGGGGTTATGGCTCATGGAAGCATTTAAAGTTTATGTAAAGGAAATAAAGACGGAGCTGGCACAGCTTCTACCAGGCTGAGAAGTGCATGAGCTAAGCCATCTGGTTCCCTGAGAGCAATGGAAACACAGACCTAATGGGCATTAAGGCCAAGTTTTGCAGCCTAGGAAAGAGGTCTCAGAAAGCATAGTGGCCTCATCTGACCTGGGGATAGTCCTGGCCAAGAAAGAGTGGCTTGTTTATTAAGCATGCAGCTACGTGCTTGATGCTACTCTGGTTCCTTTCATGGGTACTCCTCACATCAGCCCTATGAGGTAGGTGATGTTAGCACACTTTACACGAGGAAACAGGGGCTCTAAATAATCCTCTTATGTCCATAGCCTTTGTCCACACCACTGGCCCTACCCTGAATGGTGGGTGGCCCGCCACCCAGTGATCCATTGTGGGGCCATTCCATGAGGCCAGAGTCTGCAGGTGGCATATCCTGGCTAGGCCATAGCTGTCAGTGAGACTTGAAGGTCACTTCCACAGGAAAATGGTCACTGATGGCAAGAGCCTGGAAGGAGAATGGAGCCTCGTCAGCTCTGCAGAACAGCATGTCCTGTAGCTGTCTTCAGCTGAGAAGTGGGGTGAAGTCTGGATGGCCAACGTTGGGCCTCATAGTGCCCGCATGTGCAAAGGAACAGAAATATGCCAACAGGCCCTTCCTGGGGGACTGGCACTCTGAGAACTCTTGGCTATAACTGCCTCCACTGGAGGGAGCACCATGGAAGTGCACAGCAAGCATTTCTGTGAGTCCTCCCCTAGTGGGCCAGTGTCTGCTGGATCCATCTTCACCAACCCTATCCCACACTCACCTGGGTCTGATCTAGGCCAAATTCCTCCTGAAAGTTGTGAACAGAGGCTGACTGGGCCTTCAGGCTCTTACGCAGGTGAGCACCACTCACTACAATCCGGTCGTAGGCACAGTCTGAGTTGCCCACTGTGGTGTCCGCAGTGTCTGGAATGAGCCATTTAAACACCTCACTACTGCGCAGGCGGATTGATACCCAGTCATGTGCCTTTACATACTTGCAATCAGCATTAAAGTCACCCAGAAACACCATGTCCTGTGGGTAAGCAAAGCAGGTAAATCTTAGCAGTGCTCAGTGATCCAGAACTGAACACACCTTCAGTGTTCCAGGATGCGAGTTAGGAGATGGGCGTGGAGGTTACCTACATCAGTGTTCCACTTGTCAATGACATCAAGGTACACATCGTAGAGGGCATCGATCTCTGCTGCTGCCTGGTGTGGTGCTGCATGCAGGGGGATCAGCACTAGCTCCCGGGCAGCTGTGGAAGGTGGGCGTGTGAGCGTCAAGGAGAGCCTGACATTGGTAGGTCTGGGAGAGGGCAGTATCAAACTCACCAGAACTAGGAACTGAAAATTTGACCACAAAAGGCTCCCGGCTGAAGGCATCCTCTGGATCTGGATACTGGTATGTGCTTACAACCGACACAGCATCTTTCCTGGGAGCAGAGGACCAAGGGGTCTGTGGAGCTGGTCACCTCTGTCCCTGTATCCCCTCCCTTCATCCCACCCCTCACCTGTAGACAAACAGATACATTTCCTTATATTGGTCACGTCCAAGTGGCTTGCTGCTCACAAAACTGTAGTCGTGCTTGGACACTCTGTGGAGAGATCCGACAGTCCCTGGGTCAAGGCACCAAACCAAGCTTGTGGCTGTGGCTGGGGTTGTGGTGCCGGGCCCTGCCATACCTGTTAATTTGCTCCATGAGCAAAGACACTGCACTCAGGTCTGGATCTCGCACCTCCTGCACCAGGGCAATATCATAGCCAGCCAGGATCTGAAGGAAGAACCCACAGGTACACTGTCTCAATCAGCCTAATTGCCCAGAGCCTAGCTCCTAATCCCGTCTGCTCCCCACCTTCCAACCCCTCCCCATTGCCCTCATCCAGTTCCTCCACCACCCTACTGGGCCTCACCTGGGCTATGACACTGCCGCAGTCTGGATCTGACACTTTGTTGTCACCAAAGCTCTGAATATTGAAGGCTCCAATGCGCAGTGCTGTGGCCCCCATGGCCCCCAGTGCCCAAAGTGCTGTCAGCAAAGCCCAGGGCCAACCCATGGCAAAGCAGAAAGCCTAGGGACAGGAATGTCCCAAGAATAACACAAACCCATACCATAGCAATATCCAATTAGGTCTGGTATCCATATTGGCCTGTGTCCCTACACTCCCCATGTTTTTTCAGTGTGTAGTATGGGGGTGGGGGGTGATGATCTCTCTTTGCAAGGATAGATGGATTCTATTCCCACCCAGCCTCCAGCACAGCCCAGTCCAGCCCCTAGACTTACCTGGGCTATGAAGAAGGTGGTATCAAAAACTCAAAGGTCCCGAGTCAGTGTGATTCAGTTCAGAATGGGGGCCTCATGTAGCCCAAGGTGAACTTAGTCTTGGATCTAGAGTAGCTCTGATTCCAAAGCACCCACAGGTATTTGAAGCCCTGGACCAGGAAGGGGCTGGACTCTAATGGGAACCGCCCCTTCCATGGAGTGGATTCCAGAACTGGCTCCCATTCCAGAGACCCAAGAGTGTAAGAGACAGGACACATGCTAAACCAGTTCCACTGACTTAGAATCATGGCTGAAGTTCCTGGCAGCCCCCCAGAAGAATCTCAACACTACAATAAGGGATAACCATGCCCTCGGACAGCCTCTTGTTCTTGTCTCCACCTCTCCAGAAACGAGATGACCCAGAATAAGCCGCCTTGAGCAGTATCCCATCAGGGAAACAGGAAAGACCAGCCCTGGCCTGCTCAGGCACCTCCTGCTGCTTCTCCAGCCCTTCTCCATCACTAAGGAAAGCATCAGCTACTCAGGCTGATCCAAGGTCCTAGATCTTTAGACCCAACCCGCTAACCCCTGGCAGTCCTAGATTTGGTAAGTGAGAAGGAACACCTCACACCCTAGCAAGCCTGTGAAAGCTAGAGTCATGGATCTAGGTAGGGCAGCATCAAGAGGTTGTCTGTCAACATGCCAGAGACACCCACGCGCCTTGAGGCGCCACAAGGGCCGGAAGCCAAGTGTGTGGCTAAAGCAGGCAGGTGTGTCCAGAGGGCGCCTGTGAAGGCAGTGGGTGCCAGCCCCAGAGGCTACCTCCACCTCAACATCACAAGCTGCAGGTTTCCATGCTTTATTATAAAGCAAAACACAAACAAAAGGCTGCATATTCACACTCTTATCTCCTTTGGGTGCCTGAACTTCACTGTCTTCTGACCAGGCAAGTGTGGACAGGCACTCAGGGTCCTCCTCCTACCACAGTAGAGGCGCTCCAGCTATACGATGACTGTCTGCACTTCAAGTGGGCCCTCTGGTGAAGCAATGACCAGCTCTCCTCCATGCTCAAGGATCTCTATGTCCTCTGATGACACCATTGTCACAGTGGCCTGTTCAGTACTGTTTGGACCTGCGCGGGCTGTGAGCACAGTGCCTTCACTAATTGCGGAAGCCAGTGTCATGGCCACCTGCTCAGTAAGACTCTCAGGAGTGGCAATGGTGATAGTGTCAGCAGCTGCTGCCTCTGAACCTAGTGCTGCCTCCTGGTCCATGGTCACATTCTGCACGATGATCTGGTGCCCAGCACCAGCCTGGTGCACAATCTGCTGTACCACCTTCATGATGTGACTGTCCACCTGCATGCAGGAACCATGGGTCAGCTTGATGGGCTGCTCAGCAGCCTGATGACCCTCCCATACCTCACCCAGCCTCTCACCTCTGTCTGGGTGCCCTCAATGATCTCAGTGGCTTCACTGGTCTCTGTGTCATCTGCAGTAGCCTGGAAAGTCAATTAGGTCAGCCCGGGCTGTCCTGAGTCCAAACGTGCACCCCCAGCCCTATACCCACCTCAATAATATACTCTTGGGTATCAGCCACCACAGATGAGAACTCCACCAGCACGGTGTGGGGGTCTTCTGTAAGCACAGTGGCAGCCGCAGAGGGGCTCTCCTCAGATACCACCACCTCCTCCACTTCCAGCAGGCAACCCCCTGCCAACAGGGAAGCTCAGCTCAGTGAGGGCCAGCTGACCCCAGCCCTCACCCTCTCCTGCCATCTGTGGCCCAGACCTTTGGTGCGCAGGTGCCGGTTGAGTGTGCCATGCTCTGCAAAGCCACGGCCACACTTGTAGCACTTGAAAGGCTTCTCGCCTGTGTGGTGCCTCACATGCCGCACCAGTGAGCCCTTCTCTCGGAAGCCTCGGCTGCAGAACTGGCACACGTGGGGCTTCTCTTCCAGATGTGTCCGGAAGTGCACCTGCTGGGCATTCTAGGGAGACCCTTCTGTAACAGCCTGTTCTCAACCATAGCCCCCACCCCCAGGGATGGCTGGGAGAGGGTAACAGAGGACACAGCAGGCCCCCAGCTAAACAATGGAGGGTGGGTTCAGGCATAAGGATTCCAAGACCAACAGCCTACCTTGGTTTTGTAACGCTTGCCACACTGGGGACAAGGGAAAGGCCTCTCATCTGAGTGGACACGTCGGTGGCCCCGCACATGGGCAATGGTCTTATAAAGCTTCCCACACTCTCCACAACGGAAGCGGCGCTCGTGCACATGCACCTCCTGATGCTTCTTGAGCAGGTAGGCTTTAGGGAAGGCCTTGCCACACTGTGTGCAGGTGAATGGCCTCGGCCCTGAAGCCACACCCAATGTTAGGCCATTTTCACCACCCCCAAGCCCACCAGCTGCCATCCCATAGGCCACCCGCCTACCTCCCTACTACCCACCTATATGCCCTCTCTTGTGGGCCTCCAAGGTGGCTGCTGTTGGGAAAGTCTCACTGCACTGAGGGCACGGGTGTGCCCTGAGCACCATTGAAGCTTCACTGGCCACCTGCCGGGGGACCACAGACCAAGCTCCAGCACCTACTGTAAGCTATGCTCCAAAGGTGCCAAAAACAAGAAACAGCCCTCTTTTCTCTTGGCCTTTGGTAAGGAAATTAACAAGACAAAGTGACAGCAGAGAGCAATGCTACTTTTCAAGCCATGCACAGTGGGGCACATCTATATTTCCAGTACTAAGAAGCAGGAAGAACAAGAATTGAGACCAACACTGGCTCCATTGTAAATCTGGGCCACCCTAGGTTATATTAGACTGTGTGTCTACACAGATAACAAAACCTAAAGTTAAATGCATGAGGAGGTAGGAGCCTCCCCCTAGCATGATAAGCAGGCACTAAGTTAACCTCACCAGAAGGATCATGCCAATAACAGAAACCTACTGTCTCTATCTGTTCCACCTCCAGCAGTGGCAGTTCTGGGGGTCCCTCTCCCAGGGACTGGGGACTGGACACAGAGGGAGGGGCTGGCTCCAGAGCACTCTCCTCCCCAGCAACCCGCTCGAGGACAATGCCAGAATTCTGCATGGCCTGATGCAGCAGGTTCTCACGGCTGTTCTCACTGGAACACGGGAGCTCCTCAGGGTCTGGGGACTGTAAGGGAGGCAGAGGGAAAGAAGGGAAGCCTGCCAGCTGCCCAGCACAGGGCATCCTTCTCACCCACTCCACATGCACTCATGACAGGCCCATCCTTGGAGCCCCATGGTGCACTGCCAGCTGCCCCTGTTCTGAGTAAATTCCATCCCATTCTCCCTAGACTTCACTCACTCCCTGGCAGCTTCCCTGCCTTGATATGCCATCTACTAAGGAGTTCTCCCTACACCATGATGCGGGGTGGGGTGTAACTCTGTCCCAGGCCTGCCGAAGGCAGTTTCTGAACCCAGCCTGGCTGGCACTGTGTGATCAAATGCAGAGCAGCACCTACCTCAGGGGCCAGGGCTTTCATGCCCAGAGGAAGCTCCTGCATCTGGACATGGACTTCATGGATGACAGTGCCCTTGGCATCTGTTACCAGGTGAATCACAGGTGATGTTTCCATGGGTTCTCCTGTCACTGATGATGTAACTGTCCCCACAGTGGAGGCACTAGACCCTTTAAGGCAGAGTTCAATGAGTCCTTGAAGAGCCTGGCAACAGGGCAATACCTACCCCAGGAACTCAGGCAACCTCCCCACCAAGCTAACCTGCAGGCACTTCCTCTTTGCCCACAACTGTGGCCTTGCTCACGCTGAGGCGGATCTTCTCTGTGCATGGGGTGAGAGATTTAAGGTGCCGAGTCAGCGCACCTGACTCCCTGAAGCTCTTTCCACACTTGGCACATCTATAGGGGCGCTCATCTGTAAAAACAATCACCCCCAGTGGGGGATGGACCATATCCTGTGTTGAGGGGACACAGGCCAGCTGCAGGTGCCCCAGAGCCAGGCAGCAATCTATTTTGTGTAGCTCTAACCCCATTTCACTTACCAGTGTGTCGCCTGTGGTGCCGGATAAGTGAGCCCTTGGTCCGAAAGGAGGCACCACAGAGCTTGCACTCATGGTCCTTGCGGCTGCTGTGCGTTACCATGTGGGCCTTAAGGATGCTTCCCTGTGGGGGAGGGGCAGTAAGGCTCAAGGCACCTCACTGGATAAGAGTAGGCAGGGGAGCCAGTGGGCCCTTGGCCCCAGGGGCTCACCGTTTTGAAGGTCTTGTGACATAGCATGCACACGTAGCGGCCTTCCTTGTTCACCAGCAGCTTGACTTGGGCCTGCTCGCCCTCCCCAATAAGCCCAAGTTCCTGATGGTTAGGACTGCCTGGAGCCTCTGCCATCTCGCCATCCCCTGGCTCTGCCTCAGCAGCCACAATGACCTCTTTGATGTGCCCACTTCCTGAGGAGAGGCAAGTTAATGTAAGCCTCAAGACCTATCACTACTATAGGCTCTGCCCATAAGGATCCCTCCACAGGAGACCACTGGAAGCTACAGAACTATCTAGACCACACACCACCCCTGTCCTAGGGCCTAGACCCTGGATCTAATTTGCACTGAGAGAAATCAATGCAGCACCATTAGAGGCAGTCTGACATGTGTATAGGTCATTTTCAACTCAGTAGAGCTGCCCTGACATTCAGAGTCCCCAGACTGTGCCCAATATGGACACTCCCTGAGGAGCTACCCCATCCCCTACACCAAGAGACCCAGGGGTCTTAAAACAGAGTGCCCAGGTAAGTGGGCAGTGGACACCCTAGTTCAGTTTCCTACATATTTTCTGCCGGATGACTCAAGTCCCACCGATTTCAAGGAAAGATACTTCTGAGTGCTGCTCAAGGGCTTGGGCTCCCAGTGGGTCCCTGCCTAGAACTGACTGGAGAAACCAGACACCTGAGGTGGCTAGAAAAAAGGAAGTCAGGTTTTTGCACTTCTCACAGGATGCTGAGAATCTGACAATGTGCAAAGTCATATTATAAACATACTTCACATCTTCTACTCATAAAAGTCATGAGTGGGAGCCGGGTGTTGGTGGCGCACGCCTTTAATCCCAGCACTCGGGAGGCAGAGGCAGGCGGATCTCTGTGAGTTCGAGACCAGCCTGGACTACCAAGCGAGTTCCAGGACAGCCTCCAAAGCCACAGAGAAACCCTGTCTCGAAAAACCAAAAAAACAAAACAAAACAAAACAAAAAGTCATGAGTGGGAACTAGCTGTGAAACTACTTCTTAGAAACCATCTCCATCCAGCTGGTCTTGTTTTTACAAGCCATTCTCTCAAAACAGAATGAATGTGCGCCATGACTCAGAAACAATTAAGGGCATTTCTCACCCGTGCTCCCAGCCCAGTGCTCCAAAAGTACCATCCCAAAGGACAGAGACCTGATGGGTGATGAATGCAGGTACACCAAGAGGAAACTCGTTTGTTAGGCCAGATGCAAAGAGCCTAGAGCTGATACAGTCACTCCAAGCAACCCCTGCTGACCAGCCCATCTCCTTTACTGCCTTTTCTTTACCCAGACCATCAGAAATTCTGGTGGCTCCTGGCTCCCCTCCCCTTGAGATGACTACAGACGGTACAGGAGAAGCAGAGGGTCCCTGAAGTAAGGACTGTTGTGCTGAGCAAAAGCTTGAAACTACGGGAGGCTGGAGTGGGTAGAAAAGGAC